TTAAATACTTGACAATAATTCCCTGATTATTATATAAAATAAAATTAATATTCACAAATACTGTACTAATAAAACTAAAATAAGTACAGTATATTTTGCTTAAGATAATTAAATTATAATCATACTTCCTTATAATCATATTTATACTTTGTTAGTATATGAATGTAATACATATTAAATTGCAGTATTATATGCAAAATGATATAAATTGTTGTTAGATATTTTTATTTTAAAAATTTTATTTAATGTTTAATATGATGTCAAGTATTTATATTATATGAAATGATATAATATTTTATTTTTAACATAATTTTATAAAAAAATTAACTAATTATAGCAGATTTTCAAATACGTGGCATTATAATGTCAAGTATTACCCCTTCCCTTGATACTTGACAGGACCCTCAAATACTTGAATGTCAAGGTGAAATACTTGACAATGGGCAGTCTACCCCAGTTTTGACAATATATTCTGCCCCCAGTTTTGATCCTATTTTTGAAAACAGTTTTTCATTTGTATTTTATTTAAATATTATACTATCTTTATTACCAAATAGATTTATATATACAAATTATAAATACTTAATAAATTTAATTTTTACTCTAGCTTTTAGCTTAATTTTAATTAAAAATATCAATATTAAATATTTGTTGTATAAGTGAGTATTATATATTTATTTAATACTATACTATTATAAAATATAATATTAAAATATTCTAAATTATATTTCAGAATTAAATTAAATATATGAATAAAAATTAAATTGTAAATTAAAAAGTGCGGTCAAAACTGGGGGCAGATTCTGTGTAATTTTGATGAAAATCTCATATGAAAAATTGGGGGCGTAATTTTGGAACAGTAATTTTGGGGGTTAAATGGACATGGCCCACCGGAGCTGCTGCCAGACTTTGGCTCGAGTTTATTAATTAGCATAAGAATTGTATCAGGGATATAAGTCGTTAAAGACATAAAAATAGAGGTTATGGTTTTATATTAATTAACTTTTAATTTATTACAAACTGTATAATCATTACACAAATATGATTTTCTTAAATAGTTAGCTTATAATTTGAAATAAAGAATGGACATGGAGGTTTGGTGTAAAAATATATGGTCAATATACCCCATCATGGTGATTTGATAATTTACGGGCACGTACAATTACAAGCAGATGATAATAGTGGTGATTATGATAACGATAGAAGTCTTGGAAATTGAAAACAAATCAAATGCCGAAAACCGGAAGTTTCGCGATATATTGTCCATAAAATTAATGGTGGCCAATACGAGTGATGCGTAGGTCATTTGGTCGCGGGTCATCTTGTCCAATGGGCCCTCATTTACTAGTTCATCCAAATATTTATTTCGCAATAGTCGACACTTGTTTCGCGCGCACGTGTCTACTATTGTGAGCATCCAGCACAACCACACTATGATGACAAATACAATTAACCCTGTCCATATTTCCAATGCTTCTAAGTTCTATGTGAACACCCCGACTATGTAATATAAGCCCATAATTCCAAAATACATCAAGGTTGTTAATATATATATGAATGCATACGACTCCAATCTAGAATGACATGTCTCCAATAATACAAACTCATAAGGTGCCCGGTGTATAGTTAGTGGCGGATCCATTGTACCAATGTGAGTGAATTGGTTTCGTTTTATAAGGCTCGTGTAATTGAACAAGGGTATAAAAATAAAATGCGCGTTTTTCATAACGAGTCTAAGAATTATGCGTAAAATCTCAGACACATCATTGATATTGTAATAAATGATCAAGATTGTATAAAATACGGAATTTACAATTAGCGGTGCAATGGATAGCACCGCGTATTTTACATCTGTTTCAGGGCTAATGTGTTTCGCATTTATACTCGATATGTAAGCGTAGATCTTTGGACCCATTAATAGCATATAAATATTGATTAATATGAGATAAACTAAATATAAATACGCTGAAACCAAATATAACAATTTCACCATGCTAGAATTTGTACGAATATTTTTCATGCATTTGTGTTCACAATTTAACTCTACAAATTGTACTAGCAGAAATAACGCATTGAGCGCGAAACAAATCAACAATCTCGGCCAATGTGCCCGACCATACTGCTCACTAAACATAACGTGCCCGGTGAATTGTATATAACGCATAATATATCTTAAGCCGACACTCTCGTCCGCTTTTGTTTCGCTTACGATATATGTTGACCTTGATCCCTTTAATAAAATAACATTTTAATATAATAATATTGGTCGGAAGAGACTACTTGTATAGAGCATCAGTAGCTCGAGATAGGAATGTTTCTTGCACAGTAAAAACTATAACTTGTAGAGAGAGAGAGAGAGAGAGAGAGAGATCAATCTTGATCATTTATTACAATATCAATGATGTGTCTGAGAGAGAGAGAGAGAGAGAGAGTACTAGAGGTGAGGAAATTCCTGATACTTTAAGTAAAGCTATAATAGTTGTTGCTGTGCGAGAAACATACCTGTACAAGAGCTACCGGCGCTCTAATAGTCTCTTTGGGAGAATACATAACACTAAAAACCAAAGTTGAGGTATATAGCATATATATATATAATTTATATATAAATGGTACTCTTGTACTGATTATATATATAAATTAATAAAATGTAAAACAAACCATATTTGAGTTGTTCAAATGTTAATGCTGTTTACGATAACTTTTGTAAAATCTTTGTGAATACCAGAAGCTATTGGTGTTAAAAAGCATTTAAACATTTATACGAAAAATAAAAGAAAGAAAATGGTTGTATTCCTTACCGATTACTCTCAGAAAATCACAAGTTTTTCAAAACTTTTAATATAAATATACTTATTATTTTAAACTAATTTTCAAAGTAATTTTTATGTTTTATGTTTTTATGTAAAACTTATGGCACACAATAGACTTTAATACTACTACACTATTAACTTTAATACACAGCATACTACCCCAGATTTTACTGAATATAACTAAATAATAGTTAATTTTTAAATTCAATTGATAGGAGAAACAATGAACATTATAAACCAGTGGTTAATATAAAGGTAATAAATAATATCCCGATTATATTAACTTTAATATACTGTACAGTAGTCGCGAGTCCACTAAACAATACTAAAAAACTTCTAATAATTACATAAATTCATAACAATAATGAATACAGCATTCAATGTCGGGATTGACTTTTTCGCCTCGCCCCGATGTTTTACGAGCCCCGCAGAGAGAGAGAGAGAGAGAGAGAGAGAGAGCTAATTATATTTTTAATTATTATTAAATATTAAATTATTATTAATTTTTTACAAAGTATTTAATGTAGTTAATCGTACTCTCATTTTAATAGCTCTCTCTCCCAAACAAGACCATAAAATTGGTATAAATTGGGAGAGAGAGCTATTATTATGGGTTTACAATTATAATTAGTAAATTATTAACTGTATTTACTTTAAACTACATTATATACTTTGTAAAAAGTTAATAATAATTTAATATTTAATAATAATTAAATATATAATTAGCTCTCTCTCTCTCTCTTTGCGGGGCGCGAAAAATATCGGGGCGAAAAAGCCAATCCCTTCAATGTCCACTACTAGTCCACTATATCCCGGGTGTATTCACTGTATTTAATAGTAAAAAAACAGGTAATAAAAACTAGGGAATACCAGTCCCCCGGCGACACAGGTGGCCACCAAACCGTTTTGATTTTTAAGTTAATATAATAAACTTAAATTGTAAACTGTGTAGGTACTATCTGATTTAGGGCTAAACGCATTAGTATAAGTCTGTACAGTATTTGTATAATATTTAAAATATATTTTAAATTTTGAATTAAAATTATATAAATTAGACTCTTTTCAATCAAATATTTAATTAATGATTTTTTATTTATTCAAGATTTTAATTAAATAACACTGGGCTTAAAACAAATATAAAAATAAAATGAGCATGATGATGTTTAAATTCTATTAGCGTCTACTAATTCTCAAGTCCACAGATTTTGGTTTAATAAGACCGCCGGGGGCATAATAAGAACCCAACTCCAGGGGTTTCTATAAAAAAATGAATAAAATTAGCATGATTGCATATGTACCACTTTAATTAAAATCAAAGTAAACAAATTACCTCTGTAGTATGAAAAACATAACGATGGATTAGATTGACCAGGGCTAATTTTATCTTTAACTGAGCCAATCGCATGCCCAGACAGTTTCGAGGGCCGGCACCAAATGGCAAATACGTATAGGGATTGTGGGCTATATTTTCTTCTAAAAATCTTTCCGGTCTAAACACTTCCGGGTCAGAAAAGTGTTCCGGGTCTCTATGTATGGCATAGGCAGGGATGTGCACCACGTGATCTTTTTTGATGGTAATACCGGTGCCCTTAAGCTCGTAGTCCTCGGTGGGCACTCTCTCTATGAATATGGCCGCAGGGAATAGCCGTAAGGTTTCGTCGATGACTACGTCCATGTATTTCAATGCGTGAAACGCGTCGTACGGATCGGCGTTTGATTTCTGAGAGAAATTATATTGAAATTAAATTTTAGTCATTTAAATAGGTTTCACAGATATTTAAATTAATAACTATAATACTTAAAAAACTAATTCAAATTATTACTAATTTGAATATGAAATAAACAAACCGGGATTCCAAAACCAAGGGTATAATTTATTTTTAAAACAAACCTGGTGCTCATGAAATTTATTGATTTCTTCGTATAGTTTTTGTTGGACTTCCGGGTGTTTAGCGATAGTATACAAACACATGGATAGTGTGGTGGNATTGTTATAAATTAATACTTATCAATATAAAAATACACTAATGATTAGGTGTTTAAATGAATGCACCTAATTTATTTATGCACTTAATTTTTAAATATAAAAATTATATATTATTTATCTGTAAATTATATCAAGTACATCAAGTTTGTTTATTAAATAATAAATAAACTAAATTTAAATTTAAAAATTATAGAAAGTAACATTAGGTGTTGTTTTAAAGTTAAATTTTTAAAATTAAAACTGTAAAATAATTATCATCACTTATAACAAACATGAAATTAAACTATAATTTTATTTTTTGGAAATTTAATTATGTATATTTTTGTTGGATAATTCTAATCAAGTACATCAAGTTTATTTATTATTTATAAAGTATTTCATAACATGATTATTAGCCAATTATATATTGATAACTGTGTCTGATAACATTAGTTAGATAAATGGCCTTATAGTACAGCAAGTTTCAATTGCTAAATGACCTTGATTTAAAATTGTATAAATATAAGAAAATTTTATTAATTTATTGTATAAAGTTTATAAACTATTAAATTGATAATTGCTAAAACATAATAGTCAAATAATTTAAAACTAATAAAATTAATCTTAATTAAAATGAACACAATGTTGTCTACAATTTAAATGATATTTGAAATATCATTAATCAAATGGTCACTGATTTCTACTACTATTTTTGGAATCACACTGTATTTGGTATTCAAGTAAGCTAGATTATTATGATTAAAATAATATCAATTTGTAAATAATGTATAAAATTAAAATTATTTATTAAATATTGAATTAAATTGTTAATTATATAAAATAAATTAAAATTATAAAATATTATGATATATAGTAATATTTTAAACTGTAAACTTAAAATATTTTAAAATAACTAGTTTGCTATTTATGAGCAAAATTAATTGTAGAAATACATAAAATAAAACAGGACATTAATTTTTTTTAATTGCGCAAGTTTGTTTAAAAGTAATATTTTTAATATTTAATTTTAACTGAATTTTTAAAAAATTATTGCCAGATATATTGATACAACTATAAAAATTAAAAGCATATAAAATAATTAAAAGCTCCTCAAGAAGTATGAATTTATGTAATTATTAGAAGTTTTTTAGTATTGTTTAGTGGACTCGCGATTACTGTACAATATATTAAAGTTAATATAATCGGGATATTATTTATTACCTTTATATTGTAATAAGCTACACATATGCTTATGTAATACTGAGTGTAATGTGTATACCTCCCGTTCCCAAACACAAAGACTTTTCTAGAAACTTCTAGAAAGTTCTACATGTTAAAGTATAGTCTATATAACTGCATTGATATTATGTATGAGTGCTATCTTTTGGGCTACTGGTGCCGTACACTTAACAAACTGTATGTTTTTTATATAGTAAATGCTGTTTAATGTAAAAACTGAAAGTTATTGAAAAAATAAAACTAAATTTGCAAATAAGCAAGTGTATTTAATTTATTTTAAACTGAACTTGCTTACAATATTAACCACTGGTTTATGATGTACATTGTTTCTCCTATCAATTGAATTTAAAAATTAACTATTATTTAGTTATATTCAGTAAAATCTCGGGTCGTATGCAGTGTATTAAAGTCTATTGTGTGCCATAAGTTTTAATTATATTTGATTTGTAAAGCTTTTGCAAATATTGTATACAAACAATACTTTAATAATTTTTTATGACGTATAATGGTATTATGAAGGATTATTTATTCAATCTTATTAATTAAACATAATATGTCATAATGTATCATTGTATGATGTTAAAATTTATAAAATAATTATTATATTAAACACATAATAGCAGTTTTAATTAATATAACTATAATTATTAAGAATTATAATAAAGTAATTGATAACTTATATTATATTTACTCTTAATTGAATTAATAAAATATAAATATGGCATTAGACATTGGCTTATGAAATTTCGAAAATTGATTTTGCTTATCATTGTCAACATGTTCATTTTACCTATCACTGCCTATTTTGGATTAAGGTTGTTGGTCAACCTCACTTATTTATTTTATAATTATTTACCATTACCATATCCAAAACTGTATTGCTAAACTAAATATAATATACTACATAATTAAATTTCATTGGTCATTAGTGGTTAGTTATATTCTAAATGTATGATATTTTTTAAAATCAAAAAAGCTGAACCTAACAATTATAAGTTAGTTTAATTTGAATAGGAAAAATTATTTTGATTAGCCAATATTATATGCAAACAGACTGACCAACTGATCAGACTGACCAACTCTCATTTTTCAATCATGTTATGCATGTAATAGAGAAAGAGTTGAACTTTCATTTGTAATAGAGGCCAAACAAACAGATTTATTGAATAGGATTTGCTATGTTATGGACAACAAGTTGAAATCAATTTGAAATTTTTATGAGAATATATTTTTCTAACTATGCTGATAATATATCAAAAAGGTTTTTTTTGAAAATCCCTTTAAATAAAAATATTATGGCGTTTCAGAGTTTATGAAAATGTCCTGAAATTCCAAAAGTTCTAAACCCAATAAAATCTTTATTGAAATGAATTTTTAAAACATTTTTTAGATATATTATCAGCATAGTTAGACGTAAATAAAAAGTAATTAATAAAACTAATAAATCTGAAAATAATTCATTCGAATGTTCATTATTTTGTGTTAAAATTCAGTTACGACATTATATAATATAGATTCTATATTGTAGGTCAAATTAACATTCTTTTATTGTAAGTCAAATCAACGGAAGTCAAATCACACAAACGGTATTTGTAATGATAATGGTCAATAATTATAAATTAATAAGTTAAATTGACCAACAACCTTACACGACAGACAAAAAAAATTTCATAATAACATCGAATGATAGACAGAATCAATTTTAACGAAATCATGCATAGCAACCAACAAATTGAGGTAGGGTTGCCAATCCTCAAAGTTTGCCCGGTAATAATGCATCTTTCCCGTTTTACGGTTGACTGTCAACCTACACATTAGTTTATTTAAATAATATGTTTATTAATTATTAAAATTTTACGGTCATATGTGAAATGTTAATTGTGTATATTTTTGAATAAAAATGATGATTATAGTTAATTGGAATAAATATTTTACTTTTATCATAACAACTTCAGTAAATCAAATTCAAATTAAATCTTATTTAATTAATGTAAATTAAGTAAAAAAGGCCAAAATCATATAGATATGAATCTAAATGTTTTTATAAAAATCTTCTTGAATTCTCGTAATTATTATTAGTACTGTAAACTGTAGTAAAATAACATTTTCATTTGGCAACTCTGAATTTCGTAGGTACATTCATATTTGTATCCGCTTTCAAATGTATCAAACATGTGTATTATAACTAGTATATACCCCTAAAGTCATCTGAGATAGGCAGTTTTTCTAATGGTATGAATTTCAGTAGAAATCGTATAAATACCACAAACAGGATATTCAGATCAACCATTCAATTATTGAATAGAAAATAACAAGTTTTGACTTTACTTTGCTTTCAAACTTTAAGTAATATTATTTTAAATTAAAATAATATCAAGCAAAATTCTATTTAAAAATGTTTTCAACATTTCAAAGCATATTTGAAATATCACTAATAAAATGGTCACTGATTTCTACAGCTATTTTTGGAATCACATTGTTTTTGATTTCCAGGTAATCTAGCTTACCTGGCTTAATATTTTATTACATTAATTACTGTATCCATTGGATATATTTTATAAAAATAATTATTTGACAGATATATTGACGGGAAGTGTGACTATTGGCGCAAACAAGGCGTACGGACAGCGAGTGTCAGTCTATGGACACGACTCACGAAACAGTGGTTCGATTGGGAACGGGATCTCTACGTCCGTAACGGTTTCGGTGTCTATGAGTTGGGAAAACCGGTTCTCTATCTCTCGGATCCGGAACTCATTCGCGAGGTTTTGGTCAAAGACTTCCATATATTCACCAATAGAAGGGTCAGTCGTATAAACTTATATATATTAATAAATTAAAAACCTGTAACATAGACGATTGTTTCGTAAAAGTAATATTAATTACAATGTTTATAAAGAGTAATTAAGAATTTAACTAATTTTACAGCTTAATATTATTTAAAATAAATATAAATAGAGTAATTTTTAATTTGGTCAAAATCATAACTAAAAGATTATCATGGTTACAAATTCGTTAAAGAATCTAATGTTAGATTTTATTATATAAAATATTTATTTTATAAATTATTCTGTATACAAGATTATTTTGGTAACAAATTAGTTACAGTTTCTATTATTTAAAAAATACTTATAATTTGCAAAAAAAATATATACATTATATTTGAGAAGTCGCTAGCTGCATATTATGAATAAATTATTACAAATAGTAATAATGGATTTATTATGCCTTATATTTTTAATAATTACAGAAAAATATTATTTATTTATTACTAGTGTTTTAAGAAATGTAATTATTTTATAATACTTTATTTTATAACACTTTATAATTGGTACAGAAGTTCATTACAGATGACCCAATGATTAATAAAATGGTTTTCAGTGCGCGGGACTCGGAGTGGAAACGGCTTCGCACAGTAATGTCGCCCACATTTACGACCGGAAAACTCAAACGAATGACTCCTTTAATCCTTGAATGCGTGGACACTATGAACGACAACATCGACAAAATCATCGCCAAAAATGACGGTCAACTCTCGGCACCGGTAGACATGAAACGAATTACCGGAGCCTATGGTATGGAGGTTGTAATACAAGTGGCTTTCGGTCGGAAAGTGTCGGCTCTGGTCGACCCAAATAACCCTATCATAGAAAATGCCCGTAAAATGTTTAGTACGAGTTTATTTACCTTGGTGAAATTTTTGACCATAATGTTAGCGCCAAATGTGGCCAAAATGTTACAAATTTCGCCGTTTAATAGAAAAGTTACGCAATTTTTTCACAAATTTACACTAAATCTGATCGACGAAAGAAAACGGGGTTTGGAAACTGAAAGTTCTGTAAAAAGGGTTGACTTTTTGCAACTAATGTTGGATTCAATGAGAGATAATAATGATGAGGCGATCGATGGGTCCGATGAATATACGGATAGTAAGAGTGCAGAGAAATATCGGGAAATACAACCGACGGATGATATGACCGATAAATGTGAGCATTAAATGAGTTCATAAATTAAAATAAATTACTTTCATATGAAATTGAATGACTTGTGTTTATAATTTTAATTTACAGGCCTTACAAACGACGAGCTAATAGCCCAATGTGTCCTGTTTTTAGTGGCCGGGTATGAGACCTCTGCCACCACACTATCCATGTGTTTGTATACTATCGCTAAACACCCGGAAGTCCAACAAAAACTATACGAAGAAATCAATAAATTTCATGAGCACCAGGTTTGTTTTAAAAATAAATTATACCCTTGGTTCTGGAACCCCCTGTTTGTTTATTTCATATTCAAAATTAGTAATAATTTGAATTAGTTTTTTAAAATTACAATATTAAGTAGTTATTAATTTAAATATCTGTGAAACCTATTAAAATGACTAAAATTTAAATTCAATATAATTTCTCAAAGAAATCAAATGCCGATCCGTACGAAGCGTTTCATGCATTGAAATACATGGACGCAGTCATCGACGAAACCCTACGGCTATTCCCTGCGGCCATATTCATAGAGAGGGTGCCCACTGAGGACTACGAGCTTACGGGCACCGGTATTACCATCAAAAAGGATCACGTGGTGCACATCCCTGCCTATGCCATTCATAGGGACCCGGAATACTTTGCTGACCCGGAAGTGTTTAGACCGGAAAGGTTTCTACCCGAAAATATAGCCCACAATCCTTATACGTATCTACCATTTGGTGCCGGCCCTCGAAACTGTCTGGGCATGCGATTGGCGCAGTTGGAGATTAAATTAGCCCTGGTCAATCTAGTCCAGCGTTATGTTTTTCATTCTACAGAGGTAATTATTTAATTTAATTTTAATTAAAGTGGTAAATATCCAAACATGCTAATTTTATATTTGTTTATAGAAGCCCCTGGAGTTGGGTGTGGCCGGCGGTCTTATTATACCGAAATCCGTGGACTTGAGAATTAGTGGACGATAATATAATTTTAACATCACCATTTTCATTGCATTTTATTTTTATATTTGTTTTTAGACAAATGTACATCAATTAAAATTTCGAATAAATAAAAAATTATTAAAATTTAAAAAGTCGACATTGTTCGTTAATTAAATATTCGTATCATAATATAATAAATAAGCTACAACAGTACTATTTGTTAAATACAATCGGGGTATTATTTATTACCTTTATATTAACCACTGGTTTATAATGTACTTTGTGTTTCCTATCAATTGAATTAACTATTATAGTATTTAGTTATATTCAGTAATATCTCTATTAGTATGGAATGTATTAAAGTTAATAGTGTAATAGTAGTACTAAAGTCTATTGTGTGCCATAAGTTTAAATTATATTTTATTTCTTAGGCTTTTGCAAATATTGTATACAAACAATACTTGCTGACTATTTATTGAGCTTGATCATGACGTGGTATGGTATTGTGAAAAATTATTTATTCAATCTTATTAATTAAATATAATATGTCATAATGTATTATTATTATGTAATAATGTTTACGCACATTAACACTATTGAGAAATGCTACTTTTATAACTAGTTTATAACTAGTTTGTAATTCATATACAATTCAATTCACAATTTCAAAAACATTGAAAACATAAAACTTATGTTTAAAAATAGTTTAAAATAATTAATATATTTAAATTAAAAGTTTTGAAAATCTTGTGATTCTCTTAGAGTAATCGATAAGGAATACAAACTTTTTTTTTATCAAATTCCCTATTTTTCGTATAAATGTTTAAATTTTTTTAACACCAATAGCTTCTGGTATTCAAAAAGTTTTACAAAAATTATCGTAAACCCCATTAAGATTTGAGCAACTAAAATATGGTTTGTTTTATATTTTATTATTATACGAGATATAGTATATAATCCTCAACTGATCGTCTGGGTGCAGAAAAGGGTTATATATTTTTTAATGCAAACTGTAAATATTATATACAATGAATACCATGAGTATGCTATACATAGCATTCTCATTGTATTCGTTATATAATGTGATACAACTAATACAATAATAATGTTATGTATACAGTTTGTATTGAAAAATAACTCTTTTGCACCGACTATGGCTTTTAGTGTTATGTATTCTCCCGAAGAGACTATTTGCTTAGAGCGCCTGTAGCTCCTAGGCGCAGCATCCGACACAATTATGTTTCTCGCACAGCAACAACTAATATAGCTATAAATATTGCAGTATTACAACTTATTTAGTTATAATAACTGTTAAAAACAATATTTGAATCTATAGTATACTAATAGTAGACATACAAAACTATTGCACAACACTGGTCAGCAGTAATCCCTATGGTATGTGTAATACCTCCCTTTCCCCTCTGTATACAAAAGGGTGCGTGCGTTGATCACGACTTGTGGTTAAGCGCGTGAAACGTGCGATACCTATGAATACTACACCTGTACGTGTATACTCGTAGCCAATGATAAGCTACTGCCCGAAAAGTTGGCCACGAAGTCCATGTCCATGTTTGGGAGGTCTTCTCGAGAGGGGGTCGACGAGGCCGACGTCCCCGGACTCCGGCGTATAGTATCGGTGGCCTTCGCCAACACCGATATCTGGTCGAGAGGTGTGACCAAGGAAGAGACCAGTCCTACCA